GTTGCCAAAGTTGGGAAACACTGTACTAAGCCACCAAAAGTGTGTGGGGTGTGTGTGAAGGGTCCTGCCATAGAAGACCTCCAAGGTCCCTTCCAGCCCTGCCTCTCCGTGATCCAAATCCCCCGGAAGGGTTTATAATTTGGACATTCGGCTCCTGTCGAGGTCCTGGCACCAAGGCCTCCACCCCCCTCCCCACCACCCCTTGGCATTTGGTTCCCCCCCTTTTTTTTGAGCAAAAAAAGGCCTTGTGCTAAATCGGGGGGGGGTATCCAAACTTGGGAACTTTAAAGACTCGTGGACTTCCTACTCCCAGAACTCCCCAGTCAGCTGGGGAATTCTGGGAGTTGAAGTCCACAAGTCTTAAAAAGTTCCCAAGTTCGGACTGTGTTAAACGGCCTTCCACTTCCCTCTCCTGTGGGATAGTAACCAGCTCAGCCGTTTGATAAACTTAATCTTGTCCTGAATGAAAACATGGAGGAATTAAGCCGAGGACCGACCCTTCCCCCCCCCCCCCCCCGGCACTTGCCCTCCCTCTGGTTCATGCCGGAGCCCTGGTCTCTTGGGGACATTCCCCGGCCAGCTGCTCAGGCTTTTGGCCCCAGGCCGTTCTCCTTGGGGGGGGGGGGGGCAGCAGGAAAGAACCTGCAGAGCCCGGATTTAGCCAACATCCAGATAAGCTTGTGGGGATGTGAGGGGGGGGCAGTCTAGCTGAGGCCGTGGGGGAGGGTAACGCAGCCGCTCTGTGTGTGTGTGTGTGTGTGTGTGTGCCGTGCCCTGCAGGGATGCTACCTAGTGGGGGAGGGGTCTGGTTGTGCAAGCCGGCCAGGGCAGGATGGGGGAGTTGCTGGACTTTAGCAGGCCTTGGGGAGAAGCAAAGTCCTGGCGGGGGGGCTCCAGGCCAGCTGTGCCCGCCCACTGTGGGTGATCCTGCCTGGCTGCTGTGCCCTGCCCAGGCTCGGCCGGAGGAGGGACCGCTTAGTGCTGGGCGAGGCCGGCAGCTGCAGGGTCCCTGCCCCATGTTGGGGAGGGGGATTCCTCCTCATCCCGCTCATGACCTCGGGGGGGGGGGGCTCCTCCCTCTTCCTCCCCACTTCCAGGACGTGCTGGCGAAGGTGGTCCGCTACGAAGGCTTCTTCAGCCTCTGGAAGGGCTTCACGCCCTACTACGCCCGCCTGGGACCTCACACCGTCCTCACCTTCATCTTCCTGGAGCAGATGAACAAGTTCTACGGGAAGTTCTTCCTCGGGACCTGAGGGGCCCCGGCTGCCCCCCCCCCCGATGCCAGCCCCCCCCCCCCCCCAAGGGAGGGCAGATGCAAGGCAGAGCCCCCTCCTCTCCTCCCACCGATCCCCAGCACAGACGGACTCCTCCTCCCAGGACAGCGGGTGGACGCTATTTATTGAGGAAGGGGAGGCGCAGGGGCCCGGGGCCCGTTCTAGGGGGGCTGCAGGGAAAGCAGCCGCCGCTCTTTGCTTTGTACTGAGTAAACGCAATCATGCTCCGTGTTGACTGCCCCCCTGAGCCCTCCCGTGTGCTGTGTGGGGCGGGTGGGAAGGAGGCGGAGGGCTCTTGGGGGCCCCCACCCAGGGTTGTCCTCTCAGTGGGGCCCCTGAACGCCCAGGGCAAGCGATGCTGACTCCAACTGGGGCAGGATCCTGCCTGGGGAGGGAGGGAGGGAGGCAGAGCCGAGGGTGGCTGGGAAGCTGTCCGGTCCTTCTTCCAGCAGCCGGGCAAAGCAGCCACACAGAGCCGGCCTTGTCTCCTCGCCCGGCTCTGACGGAAAGCCCACTGAGTAGGGCTGCCTTGTGACGGCCCACGCGGTGCTGGGGTCCTCCCCTCCCCCCCACTCGCCCTCCACACACCCCAGGCATGAAGGACACCCCCCCGCCTCGACTCCCAGGGCCCTGCAGGCAGCTTGGAAATGCGTGGCCGGAGGAGGGGGCAGCCCTTTGGGGCAACGGATGCTCTCCATGCTGCCCCAGGCAGCCGGAAGGAGTCGGGGGGGGGAGGGGGGGAGCCTCCAGGCTGCCCCGGCCGGTGTGGGAAGGAGGCCTGTGATGGAGAGAGGCCCCTGGGTGCAGAAGTAGAGCAGAGGGTCAGGGAGGGGGGCAGGTTGCTCCGCAGAGGAAGATGGAAGCCCAGCCCCTCCCCCCCGCAGACACTGTGGGCTGAGCAACCAGGAGACCCCCGAGGTGGAAGGGAGGAGCCCCCCAAAGTCCTTTGGCCGGAGCCAGTGCAGAGAGAGAGCCAAGAGGTGCAGAGGGGGAGGAGAGAGAGAGAGAGAAGGGCTCAAAGCTTTTATTCAGAAGAAGCCGGCGGGTGTCCAGGCGCCTGGGCAAAAGCAATATAGCAATAGCAGTTAGACTTATATACCGCTTCATAGGGCTTTCAGCCCTCTCTAAGCGGTTTACAGAGAGTCAGCATATTGCCCCCAANAAGAAGGGCGCGGACGGGCCGGGAGACGCCTGGCCTCGGCGCTGCGGGGGTCGGGAGGCCGGCGGGGCGTCCCTAAACAGGGCGTGGAGCACGTGGCCCCGCGGATTCCGCTGGCCTGGATCCACGCAGGGTTTTTCCGCGGCTGCGACGGGGCTGAGTAGCGCTCCAAGTTAAGCGGAGCAGGGAACGGGGGGGGGGTCCCGGGGGAGGGGCTGCTGGGAAGGGCGAAGGAGCCCCTCCGGGTAGGCGGACGCTTGCTCAAGCCCCCCCCCTCCCGCTCGGCCCATCCGCCCAGATCAAAGACTTCTGTGCCCAAGGGGGGGGATCCTCGGCACCCAGGGCCCCCCCCTCCTGCCCCAACCCAGCCGGGGATATTCGTCTCTCTGCACCCGCCCCCAGGACGGACCCGTGGAGCACGCCAGCCCCTCCCCCAGGCCTGAAAAGGGAAGGAAGGAAAGGTGGGGAGGGGGCAGCAGTGGGGTGAGAGAGGAAGCAAAGGGGAGGGGCAGGTGGGTCTGGCTGGGTCAGCTGACCTCCCTTTCAACCCCTCTCCTCCCCCCCCCCAGGCTCCTTTGGGTAGGCAAGGTGAGAAGAGGGAGGGAGCCCCCCCATTTCCCCCCCCAGCCCCCCCCTGACCTTTCCGGTACTTGTGCAGAGGGATCTTCTTCAGCTGCTCCTTGGACAGACGGTCCTTCCGCATCCGCTTGCGATGTTGCACACAACGGACAATCTGCCACAGGGGGGAGGGGGGGTTGCCCAGATGCCGGTCTTATTACCGGGGGGGGGGGATTGAATGCACACACACGGCCCCTCTACGCGCAGAGCGGAAGTGACCCCCCCTCTGGGAAAGAGCAGCCGACGGGATCAGCTCCTCTGGCTGCATTCTGGTCTGTGGGCGAGGAGGGGCTGCCCTGCCCGGCTGCAGGGGGCTCCGCTGGGTCAGGGCACAGGGCACGGCTGGGCGGCAGAGTTGGATGGTGCAAAATCAAGGGCCGGAAGCTGAGCCCCCCCCCTCTTCCCCCCCCCAGTGCTGGTCCCCCGTGGCCCCTCACCAGGATGGTGCACATCACGGCAATCACCACGCCCACCACGCCCGTGAAGGGGATGAGGTAGTAGCCCAGCGGGAAAATGTACTCGGGGATCAGGACGACGTGGCCCCTGTGGAGGAAGGGGGGCAGAAGCATTAGGCCCCTGGGGGACCCGGCGTGAGAAAAAGGGGACCCCCTGCTGCCCCCCACCCCCAGGACAGAAGCCCCAAACCACACGGCCCCCCCTCCACATCTGCACAGCTCTCTTCCCCTTGCAGCCGCCACGCCAGCCTCCGCTCTCTGTGCATCCCGTCTGCCCATCCTCATTCCGATGCCCCGGCATGAGCCCCCCCCCCCCGAAACACAGGCTGGGATGCTGGAGTCTGTTCATCGGGGGGGGCAGTGCTCCCCCCAGGGCCTCCCACCTACCCTCTCTCGTAGGTGAAGAGGCTCCGCAGGTAGGTGGCCGCCGTTTCTCCCGTGAAGACGGAGGGGACGGTGATGTGCCTGCGCAGCTGGTCTGGAGAAGCAAGAGGGGCAGTCAGGGGGGGGGGAAGCAGCGGGGGGGGGG